GCTGCTGATCCCTTTGAAGAAATCCCGGAGTGACGTGTGTATTCTCTCAAGCCTAGCCTGTGGCTTGTGATAGATTACTCTAGGTCTGGAGTGATCGGGTGGCACTTTGTGATTTTGTTTCATTTTCAGAGGAACCACTAAGTTTCCCTTCTTGGTCTTGCCTTTCAGTGGGAAGTTGGTGTCTCCAAAGTGGAAGAATTTCAAGGGCCTGAAGCTCCAGTGGAGAGACAAGATACGGCTCAATAATGCCATCTGGCGGGCGTGGTACATGCAGTGTGAGTGCTACTTGGCCTTCCGGCAGGAGGGGACCACGGGGGCCCCAAGGTTCTAGCACCTGGAAGCCTGTGCACCTCGGGTCCCCAGAGCCCACTTTCCAGACATTGTGCCTCAAAAGGAAGCCTCTCCTGGGCAGTCTGCAGCGATAGGAAAACCAAGCCGGATCCTAATGAACTGGATACTTCTCGGCCATCAGGCACGGGGGGCCAGTCATGTGGTCATGTAGTTGCCTTTAATCTGCAGGAGACAGACGTGTTAGCCAGTTGCTCACAGCATCACGTGCCCACTGTTAGGTTAGGCGCTTGGGCCCAGTGTTGTAAAGGCAGAGGAGGAAGGAGGGGTTAGTTCTTTTCAGGGGAGTCAAGGAGGGCATAGCAGAGAGTGACATTCAAAGAGTCAGGGAACAGTTCCTATTTTCAAAGAAGATGCAGACCCGGGCCTCCTTCTGTTTCTAGCTGGCTTTCGTGCAGGTAGATCCTGTGGCCTCTGTAGGAGATCCGCGTGCTGGGGGCATGCTTGGGTTAGGCTGGCATTTCTCTTGATAAGCCAGACTGCCTACCTTACCTATGAGTTACAGATTCTTTTCCTTGATTCTCTGAAATCTCATTTTCGAGGGAAGGAGGGCCGCACCTTGAGGGGCATGTGGACAGAGCGGGCAGGGGTTCCTTCAGGGGTCTTGGTCATAGCAATGATGTCTCCTCGTTTCTCTGCCCAGATTTGGAGAAGCGCAAGAATCCCGTGTGCCACTTCGTCACTCCACTAGATGGCTCTGTTGAAGTGGATGAGCATCGCAGGCCAGAGGTACTTGGCCCTGGACCATTAGTAGCTGGAAAGGATCCTCCCTCATCAGGAGGAAGCAGCTCTCCCAGGGCTGGGAATAGGGGGTGGATTCCGCAGCGGGGGTTCAGGGAAAAGGTCTAGCCTTGCTGCCCTGGCCGCCATGGTGTCCTCGCAAGGATGAGGATGTGACAGCCCACGGGACTCCCCTCTTCTCTGGCTGGGCTGACCTGAGGACTAAGGGGTTCTCTCCCTGGGACTTACCCTCAATGTTGGCATTTCTCTGGACGTCAGCAGGGAGGGATTTGGTCTTCTTACAAGACAGATTATCTTCAACAAAGAATGATCTCAAGGGACGCCTGGGTGGCTCAGTCGGTTGAGCGTCTCTTCTTTTTTTATAAAAAAAAAA